TTAGGAAAACATATCGACGACTGAACGATAACGATAAATAACTTAATCTAACCCTGGATAATTTCTGAGCGGGAACATGACTTTGAAAGAGATTCATCATAAACCATTGAGAAGAGGGCGAAAATTTGTCAGGTACTTCGCGGTGCTAGAATTCATCAGCTAACGTTCCACATAATAAGAAGCTATTTAAACAATGTATTCGTAGTTTTTAGAGCAGTTGTGTGATGAGCATAGAATGAACATAAATAATGAGAAGAACAACCCATTAATGATGCCATTTTTTGAGCCATATGCGCTTAAACGATAGAGCATAAGGGAGGGTCGAAAATAACAAGAGAAGAAGCATGTTACTGATGACTGATAAACATTCCTATGAAGTGATAAGAACAGATGAAAAAAACACTGCAGTGATTTGTTCACCTATTCCAACCATACTCGCTGATTTCCGAATGAATTTCATTAATGCAGCCATTTTCGATGCAGCGAATGATGAACTGAGTGAATAGTTGAAAACTTCACGCAATGGCAACTCTGAAATCAGAATGAATATATCGTAATGCTAAGTGAAAGGCTTTTAAATGATGAGATAACGAATGATTCTGTGAGTTATTTGCTGGAATATGAGCGGTAAATTCGGAAAACAAGATTCTGAATGCATGTAAGAAAGCGTAGTAGTCAAGAATCATTCAATTAATGACATTATTACATCATTCAGTTTCAAGCAAACCTTCAAGTTTTGCTCGGTGCCGACTGGTGTGCCAATATCTTTAGCGTTATCAAGCCTGAATAAGGCTGTGATTTGGTTTCTACCTGAATATTTCTTCATGTGACTGAAATTATTAGAGCTCAACAGAAGCAACAATCCGACTGTATCGCAAACAAAAATAACTTTTTGATAATTTAAAGTTAATATACTATAATAAGAACAAAGAAACTATAAATTCTATCCACGATGAACATCCAACAGTGCGTCATGTCAAGTGACGAGCGTTTGGTCCTCCTACTTCTGGTTAAGGCACGTCAGCACTGACTTATAGGATGTGGTGACCGAGTTTCCGAAACTCATACGAACGCAATGAACGAACAAAGAAAAAATCGCTCAGTCAACAAAGAATCACAAAGCATTTCTTGCAAAATACTTACATGATGCGAAATTTACAACGGTGCATGACGACTTTCAGGTGAATATCGAAACGTTGAAGCGGTTTTAAACGCTCGTGTCACAAGACAATTCCAATGCAAAAATCTGCACGAAAAAATCAACAAGGTGTTGTACTTGTTATCATATCCGTTCATTTCTTTCGGCTAATGGAATTAGAGTGTTCATTCGAATACGCATATGGCACTAGATCAGGGTTTTTCAACCAGGGATGCGAAATAGTATTCAAGAGGGTGCGTGATAACATTTTGTTTTTTACACGTTAAAGTAGGCCAGAACGGAGTTCAACACATACATGCGTGTAAAGTAGGTGAGAGTGGACTTTAACTTATATATTTTTGAGAAGGTTTCATGCGTCGATGAAAGTTCATGGTGAATTCATGCAACTATTACTTTTTTGTAGTATTTTTTCCAGATGATCATTTTTTAGATGTTATAAAAATAAATGATAAAAAATTCTTTCGTTCACTTCTATTCTTGAATCAATCGCTGCTGTGAGGGGCGCAAGCACATTTTAAAATTTATTAGGTTGTTCGGGCGAAAAAAAAAGACTAAGAACCGCTGCACTAGATCAATAGGTCAACGAATGATGCAGTTTGCACGAGAAGGGCATAAAAAGCTTTGATACGAAAGAGTATTATCCATGAAATATCATCGCCGATATTGCCAGCAATCAAACTCACAAGCACCCGTGTTTTTTGTGTGCTTTACACGTTCAACTCACTCCAGACTAACTATAAGGTTTTTATGGTGCGACGCATTACTGACAATCACACATTAATGGCACCTCAACGAAAATTTATTTCCATTTCAGTTCCACTTGATAATATAATATTTACGTTTTACTTAAGCAAAGCTCAAGCTTGGGTCAACACTTATTCATAGATCAATACGAACATGATCACCCTGTCTTTCCCGGCTCTTCGAGAAGCATGCATGAGGTGAATGTCGTCTGAAATGCAAATGCATGAAACATAAAAACGCAGCTGAATTCAACTCACTTCTCAGCTGGACCACACAATCAGAGTAAAAGATAAGCAAAAATTAATCCAAAGTAGTATTCGTAATGAATTAGAACACTGCAATGTAAACGTGTCACGTGATGTCAACACACTGCACATAATTCAGCTCACCTGACCAAAACAACGATATTTCGTCGTCTATAAACTAATATCCTCCATCCTCCACATTCACTCCCTTCATTCTAAATCCTCCGTATGCAGTTTCCGTGTTCACTCATTCACCACGCTAACAATGAGATGAGACCAATTCAACAATTCAAACCTTCTGTCATCCACCAATCGCTCCCATTTATACGAATACCTATTTCAGTCACTGTAATCGGCCGCATAAACAGCTGATCGCCTCATAACACTAAACTAAACGAAACCAATTATATAAAATTTCAGTTGCGTAGATTTGTCCATTGCACGCAGTTAGTGTATGTATGTGTATGCATTATGCATTCACCGCGGTGTTTTTTTCACAGAAAGAGTTTTCTATTTGCAGTCATAATGATGTGAAGAAATGATTGTGAAAAGGAGATAAAGGAAAAAAAGGGTCGATAAGCACTTTACACTGCTACACGAATCAATGCATCTTAAATACGTCTGCAATGAATTTACGTATGATGAGATTCAATTTCATTTAAAAAAAACCTTTTCGGTGCTTTAACGGGCTACTAAGTATAATTTATACCGTGTATGTGTATTCCCCCGCCCTGATAGATCTTTCCCTTCGAACAAATCTCCCTCAAAAAACTAGCAACAACACTCTCTCTTAATCCCCCTTGAAAAAAAAATCGCTCTCCCCCTTCTTTGTGAAAAAGGTGCATAAACTTTGTAATTTCATGTCGAATTGGTATGAATGAACGTAGGTACTGAATGACTCAGTTACTCGTTAGCTTTATTCGCGCGTTACGCATTTCGTTTTTCATCGTAAAAATTTGGGAAAACTTCACTCCATCCTATTAATAGATCACTTCACGAATGATTGATAATATGATGAATGATATGTTCAAAGTAGATCTTTTGAAAACGGCAAAAATAAATAGATGATCACAGATTTGTATCAATATTTGTTTATTTACTCATTCATAAATAAATTCATTTGTTTACCTGATAATATCATACAACTTTACTATGCATCACAAACGAACATTCCATTCATAATAGCCATAAATAATGTCAACAGTGCTTGAAGCGAGTATTGCGCAAGAAACACTTTGACATGAAAATCACTCATCAGGGTAGTGTTTAGACAAGAATTAATGACTCTTACACAACAGACGGATAAGAAAATCGGGATAATAATAGTAATAATAGCAATAATAATAACAACAATATTAATAAAAATAATAATAACAACAGTAATGTTATTATAACGAGCAAAGCAAATCGTACCACACACAGCACAGATTGTCAGCTAAAGTGCACATTTAAGCAACTGGCACCTAACAATCACAATACAATTATGAAAATAATAACGAAGTTAATAACCAGACAATAAAGATTGCAGTATTAACAACATAAATACTTCATTGCAATAAATTCCAAGTGTTCAGTTATGAAGTAGAGCGAAACGAAAAACAAATGACAAAAGAAGTCAGGGAATTTAATGAGGAAAGCACCATTTATAAAGATGAGATTTTATCTACAAATCAAATACAATAAACAACATTTGTGCATCAATAAAACATGTGAGAGTAAGTAAGTCAACAATGGACAGAAGTAACAATCAAAACAGTAATATTTATGAGTTGAAATGCAACAAAAGAATTTTCCGCAGTGAATAATGCAGCAATGAAAAAGATAAACGATATTCTCGAATGAATGATGATGAAAAAATATCGAAAATTATCAGTAATAAAATAATCAAAAAGCAACAAATCATCAGAATCATCGCCAAAATCAAAGTAATAATCGAAACTGCACATAACATTCTCTACCGAAACGAAGTACCATACACTTTTAACCTCTATCATCCACGTATGTGTAACATTTTGCTAGAAATTGAAATATAAAATTTCATGAATAACAGGGATAGAAGGATATGGTCATAATATGATGGCAACACGGCTAAGGCCTCTAAATAATTGTGTTTGAATACAGATTCAGCATACAAGATTACAATTTAATTTAAGATACTTGCAAAATAATCCTCAAACACGTGTAATTGTGTAATTGTTCGGCTCAGTGGGTATGTTCTGCTCTTCTTATTTATTATTGCTATGGGTTACGGCTTTGCTTCGACTCACCCCGCGAATCGCACAACAACAAATCGTATATATCATGATCTTATTAGTTTTGCAAGTATGCGCGATACAGGGCGTATACCTGTTGTCGAGGACAAGTCAGATGAAGTTGATCGCTTGAAATGAAACTCACATTATTGGGAACGATCAAATCGAGTCGGAAAGCAATTCTTGAACCTTTGAAAGTGATGAAGAGATGGATTCAGTGGGAATATGCAGTATTATTTTTTTTATGCAGTATTATATTTCCTTATCCAAAATTTTCATGTTCAAGACAAGAAAACGCTTGTAATAAAATGTTACACACACGTGGTTGGAATTTGGATAAGGGCTGATCAAAAAATTCTGCAAAGCAATTGTTAAGCGAGGTTAAATAACCATGAAAGATGACCGAATCCATTTAAAAAAATTTTGGATAAGGAAATACAATAGGAGCTTGCATTGGATGTGTATAACGCATCTGTTGATCGGATATTCAGTGATAGAGATGGATGGGTAAAGTCAGCGTTCAATGTGGATTATAGGATAGGAAAAAAAAAGAAGATAACTAAGTAACGAGGCAATTAAGAAGAAAAAAACGAAAGAGATTCATTGACACAGATTATAAGATTGAGTTGGTGCCGAACCAATAGCAAACACACGAAAACCGATCGATCGTAATTTATTTTGATCAATTATTAAACGACCATCAAAAATTGAAGCTGGATGTGTCATTGACTTGTAGAGACGCTCATAGTCGTATTCCTGGAAGATAAAAAGAATTGGCACGAAATTGTGATGAGTTATAAAGAAAACGCTAAGAGGAAAAAACAGCACTGGAAATATTGTGAAAGGCAACGATTACGAAAATATTTTGGATAGCATAAAAAGTCAGATTTAGAAATTGAACTGATAGTTTGAAAGTGAGCAAATAAATACCTTGAACTCATCCCACTCGGTAAGAATAACAATTGCGTGCGAATCTACAGCTGCTTTATACGGATCACGTTCAACAGCCACTAACTTATCAACTGAAACGAAAAATGGATTTAAACGCAAATAATTTCAACAAAATTATTCGATATTATCATATATAATTTGAACATGAATAGTATACCAGTTTCTTTCGGTGATACTTGATTCAGTTCATATCGCATCTGTGATTCGGGTACTCTTGGATCGTAAATGACGATTTTTGCACCTTCATCGAGAAGATACTTGGTCACATGAATCGCTGACGATTCTCTAAAATCGATTCTATAGCAGTCACAAAGATAAAAGCATCACAATAGTGATAACTTTAAAGGAATGAACAACGAATAATAATGATTTCTATTAATTGTAATAATTGGCTCGAATTACAAATAGGTGACATCAGATGAGAAGAGAGTGTGCACAGTATCATGGTATTCACCTCGTATCGGCAGTATTCTTTTTGAACGCGAAGCCGAATACGGTAATTTTTTTGTCTGTTACAGTGTTGAACAACTCTGAGATTATTTTGTCGGTAAAACGTCTCCGTTGATAACGATTAATTTCGACAACCTTAAGAAATTACTGTTATTATTTTTATTTCAAATTACACAATCTTATCATTATTGTTTCTGACTTTAACAACGATAGAGAATTATTACTGCTAATTTCATTATCGGTATTGAATTTCGGCAATAATTTATTTTGTTGCATTCAGTTGAACATGTGAAGTAGATTCAATTCGAAAGCAGAAATAAGTAGGTGAGTGATATCAACGAATCAATCTCTTATCAATAAATTCAAAAACATACCCCTAACCAATAATCAGCCACCTGATGCAAATTCAGTGATTCGGCTAAATAAACCAAACTGAGAACATCTTTTTGAAAGCAACTCCCACCGAAACCTAGAATGAGAAGCAGCGATTTTGAATTGCTTATTAGACATCGACAAATGAGTTTCACTATTTATATATGATATCATTCATCGTTCATCTCTCCATCACACAGTTATGATTGTCTCTGATCCTATTGTCAGATCCAACTTCTCTATAATGACGACAAAAAGAATGATACGCACCAACACTAGCTTGTAAAAACCGATTTCCAATACGGCTATCATGACCAACCGCATGGGCAACCTCTCTAACGTCTGCACCAGTCGCTTCGCAAATCGCTGATATTGCATTTATACTTGAGATTCTTTGTGCCAAAAATGCGTTCGCTGCCTTCATTAAGAATATATTACGATGATTTTTCATTTACACTCTACTCTAGTGCAATGTCAAGTTAAATGCACTATTTGGTTAAATACTTGCATCAAATTGATTGTTTGAATGGAACTGAACTTTTGATTGAAACTGAAGTATTAACTCTCAGACAAAAATAATGAAGAAATCGACCATGAGGTACTCGTTAATAAACTGTAAACAATTTATGAATGCTAATAAATAAAAGCACATAAATGAAAATCATCCAACCAATTTGGTTAGTTCGGATGACCAAGTATTTGTGGTGATAATTCGCTGTTTGGGTACCCAATGCTCATATATTTGAACAAGTTGCGCAACTGCAGCCAGACCCTCCTCTGAGCTTTCACCACCAATCAGAACACGATCCGGATTGGCTAAGTCATTCATTGCCGTGCCTTCTGCCAGAAATTCTGGATTCGATAGCACCTTCAATGCAATAGAACGTAGCATTTATCACTATCATTATCATTGTTATCACTTATAGCACACAGGCGTCTATTCACCTGAAACGAAAGATTCGGATTGCGTTTTTGAGCTTCTCGTAGAATCGCATTGATACTTTCAGCAGCCTTCACTGGCACTGTACTCTTTTCAACCACGATTTTCGGTCCACCAGAATAATCGGCGATTGCTCGTGAGACTGATTCAACATATTTCAAATCTGGCGCCATCCCCTTGAAAATTTCTTAATGTATCATATCATATCAGTGGTCATCACTCGTATGATATCATATTAAACAGATTTTGAAACTCTTTAATTTAATAGTTTATTTGAGATCTTTCGTTGATTTTGATACGAACGAATTCATAAAGGCAATGATTTTTGACTATACAGAAATTAAGTTTGAAATTTTGTGCGGAAGTGAGCGAATCGCTTGTAAATCATCGAAACCTTTTGAAAGCAATTCAGCACATCTAAATAAGAATTGACACAATTGAAGTGATAAAGAGTGAAGTTGATGCAAAGAAAGAGCGAATGCAAAGTAGTGGTTGATGAAGCAACTCAAAAGATACCTTCCCTCGACCGTACGTCTTCGTTGGCGTATTCACAGAAATAAAGATCAACTGTGCCTCTCGAATTGCATTTTCGATGTCATTCGAAAAGAATAAATTTTTATCTCGACACTTCTTCACTATTTCATCTAATCCAGGCTGTAATTTGACAACTCAAATGCTTTTTACCATTACTTCATAAACAAGTGAAAATTGCTGTCTTCATTGTTTTATCCAGCAGAACAGACGTTCAGAAATGGTCAATATAACAACAATGATAATAACCATAATAATTAGTAAATATAACAAAAGTGATAATACCAAGAAGACAACAGTAAATAATAATAGTTAAATGATAATAATGCTATTAATGATGCGAATGAAATGAACAACAACAAAGAAGATGGTAAATAACGAGTTCAAGAACCTCATAAATTGGTAGTTTGTCAGAATTCCATTGATTGATTTTCTCAGAATTCATATCGACAACAGTGACTCGAATTTCAGGACATTTATATGCGATCATCGCACACGTTGGTCCACCAACATAGCCAGCACCAACGCATGCGATTCGTTCGACCTCAACATTACTTCTGATTCATGCATCCATCCATAACAAATAACAATAATGCTCTTTAAAATTGATGTTTGTTACCTGTTGAAGAGATGACATGCTGCGTTTTAATGGCAGTGATACGACCACTTACAAATAATACTCGTTTCCTTGAAAGAAGCAATAAATTATTTCATGCTCACGTTCACTCTTCTCTTTGATCACAGAATAAACAGGTTTCATTTATTGTTTTGTTGCATAAAATTGCACACTATGCTTAAAACTCAACGGGAGATGACAGCAATGCGATTAGTTTGTGGTATCGAAAAGATAATAAACCACCAACGTCAATCAAAAACATAGTTGTGATTTCGACAACAGCAACAAATAATATCCTGTCACTATTACTGTTATTATGCTCGTAGATAATATCTACGAGAATGCGAATAAAACCTTAATCCACCAATTCAAATCAAACATTTTCGAAGAAAACAAGCTTTGAGTGATGCATAGCAGAAAATCTATGACTGAAGTTATAACAAATAGACTGTATAAAAGATTTGGTTCAAACACTGAGAATATGAATGAACTCATGAAATTCATCTCAAAACTGACTATTGCTCTGATAATTTCACATGTTCATTAAATTGTTGACTCTGTTGAATAAACACATGAAAGAATGCACTTTGATGTAACTACACGAATCAACAAAAACAATTCATTACAAGAATGCACTTAGAAAGGAATGGTTGTCCTCCTCCAAACGCTCTCAATTACCTTTCTCAGTCAGAATTCAACGATGTGCTGCGATCGCATCACAGAATCGCTCGGTTACACATAACAGCAAACATAAAAAGACGGCAACTTTATGAGCAAACAGGAGATTAATAAGTGGGCAATTTGGAAACAAGAGGATCGCATTCACGATTGAAGTGGTGTGATACAGATTCGAATCGTCATCCTGATGCACATCACTAAGCGGAGACAGATTTACATTGCGCTGATACGAACGCATAACTCCGAATAATAAACACAAATATTCACATTTAGTGGAAAATCTTGCATTTTAACGATCAGAAAAGATTGATAAATTGAGAATTTTAATTCTATAACGCATTCGCTATATCTAAACAAACAACATGACAAAGAAGAAGAAGTTTCAATGAGAATATTTACTACGAGAAATTATCGTTTTTAAATCTTCGTTATTATTATTATTATTATATAGTAACAATAATAAAAATGGCAATAATAAAATAACATTATTATTATTATTATTATTATTATAAACAGAACTATCCCATTTTATTGTGTCTCCGAGAAATTCCAGCACAACAAATCATCAATAAAGATTCAAATTTTCACACGCTCACATAAGCATGTAGATGGAAATAACCAAACAAAAATAAATATAGATAACTTTTAGAATTTTTCAAAAGGAAGCATCAAAAGATATTTTTGACAGACACAAAAATACTCTAACTTCTCATTAATAAACAACACTTTCCATCTGAGAATTACGCAAAGGCAAAAGGCTCATTTTCGGAGCAGTTGTATTTTCACAATACCATTCCAAAAACACGCACCGCTCCCACTTCACCACCCGTCGTTCATGTGTAAATCAATTCGAAAATACTTCAACGCATTTGCATTTAATCGCCATTTTAAGAGATTTGATTGTTTTCCAAAACAAAGTAGAGAAGAGAATTTGACTACAGACCTAGATCTAATAAGATCGAACAATATATTAAGGTAACATTAATCTTCAACTTGTGTGAAAAAGTTGAAATCTATCGGACAGAGTAATCGTTTTCATTTAATCTTACTGGTAGCAGCTGAGAAGATTACCGAAAATATGCATAAATGAACAAAATAATGAATAATGACGGAAACTGAAAATAACTTCGAGATGTATGCTCGAAACCTTGTGCTCGTTGTTCACAGTCACCAGACTATCGCAAATTAATTAGCTGAACAAAATCTCATAAAGATCGAAAAGTGTCAAAAAAGCAACAAATTGAAAAATTAACCGAACTTGTTCAACAACCCACTCTAATACGTTGAATGAGTTAACAAAGAAATAATTTTTAAAATGCGTTGTAATGACTCATCACCAAATGAAAGAAAATGTGTTTTTAAAAAAGTTTATTCGATTCGAATTGAATACATCATAAAGGATCGACATGATGAACCGTAGAATATCAATTTGAAACACTTGAATTCTGCACGTTACGACTGAAGGCATGCAAGATTCAGAGTGAGCCATGAATAAAAGGAAAAACTGTATTCGAGCGAAATAATTTCTGACCACTAGAATTGACAGAATAACTCAGTTACAGCTTTATATTGAACAAAAATCTCAGTCAGAGACTCAGAATCCCTAGGAAGACATTCGGATGTAGTTTATGAGTAGAGCTAAGCTCAATTTTAGGGTCAATATTTGCTGCAGATCTTCAGTTAGCGCACTGACCGAGACACTCGAGCCGGAAGTCCTATCTGAACGATATTCACAATAAAGATTGATTATACGCATTCTTTCTTTAGGTGATTGGCTAAACGCTATAAACAAACTCATAGAGCAACATATATTTTCAGCCATAGTAACCATCTGAATACTGTTTATTTATAATCTTTCGGCATTTGCTATTCATTTTAGCATTAAATATCTGTTCTAGTGCTTCACACATTTGATCTGACGTTGTCATTTTCACATCGAATGCCCGTGCTCTCTCCATAAAGCTTTTGCTAATCAAACTCGGCCAGTAAACGATCACAAGCAGATTGTTTAAATGAATGGGCACTATCAAAGGCAGCTGGCTTTGAAAACAGATTGTCTAAACAAATACAATGAGTACAACCAGAACAATCTCATCGTGAAATTTCCCAAGTGGGAAATGTTGAAGGAAAAGGAGATATATTCAACAATCGGCACACACCTAAGTTCTATAAATCCAGTTGACAACTAAATGTTACACTCAGTTAATAACTGAAATTGAAAATGACCGAACGCAAGTTCAAATGAGACGATTGATAATGTGACAATGAAGTTAATAAAAAAGAAATTCCAACCAAAAGTGAACGATGAAAATGAAAGTTTGAAATTTCAAAAACGAAACGACTCTGAAGATATCAATCAAACGAGTGAAAGGAAATCAAATGGAGAGAATGTAGAATTTTGTTAGTTCGATGCCATTTAGTCACAAAATTAACGCCCAAAAGCATTTTTCATGAATGTATCCATCACTGATCACTTCATTAGTTTCAATTATTGCTTACAAATTAACCAATCATTTTCCAATCTAATCCTCTTGATCTCATCTTTTTCGACCCCTTACAACCTGCCAATCATAGCTATTAATTGGGTACATGTGCCCAAAACCCATTCATTTTTTATTCATATTTATACATAGATATGTACACAAATATGAAAAATATATGCGTACATGTTCGAATACATATATATATATATATATATATATA